TATGTATGAATACCTCATCCCTAAGTAAATAACACGCTAAAATAACACTCTGGTTTTACACGTTCGTACCTGTCCAAGGTTTTTACATATGGCATTGAATTATGTCATATCATACTCTTTTTTTTCGGGTCGGAATCTCATTCTGGGTGTCGGCGCCTGGGGTTTTTTTTATTGCTAAAATGGTTGGACGAGCTCACAGCCCACCTGATTTTAAGTGGTTACTGGAGCCCATAGACATCTACAACGTAAATGCGCCACTCACCTTGAGATATAAGTTTTAAGGTCTCAGTATACTTACAATGGCTACCCCACCCTTCAAACCGAAACGCATTACTGCTTCACGGCAGAAATAGGTGGGGTGGTGGTACCTACCCGCGCGGACTCACAAGAGGTCCTACCATCAGGTTGGCGGGCTATGTAATATTTGATGATATACATATTGGGAGCAGACCGCGGCTCAAGGATGTTTAGTGGGTAGGACTACCAGGGATATCCACTAAACATCTCCCCTTGCACTCTCTCACGTGAGCCCTATTTCCGCCCGAGGTCAAGCTGGGGCAGGGTAGGGAATTTCCCTAAGGTAACACTACAACCACACTGTGAAAGAAAAATGGTTCCAATTATGCAATGCGATGCAGAGGCTATTTTAGCGACGCGCGAAGATGGGAAAGTACAGCCTGAATCAGAAAATACAATACGCGTGACTCATCTGATGCTCTTCAAGTCCTAGCTCTCTCCAGCATTAGGGTTCCTTAATGGTTTCTGAGCGGCGAACGGGAAGCCAGCACGTCACAATAAGAAATTTCGTGTATGATCCGATACCGGTGGATCCGAAACCGGTGGCTTAAGCAGGCTTAATTTAGACATTATTTTTATTAAATTTTTAAACACGTACTCAACAAACGTCACGATTGACTTCCACGGTGAAGGAATAACATCGTGTAATAAAAATCAAACTCGCAAAATTATAATTTGCGTAATTACTGATGTTAGGACCTCTTGAGTCCGCGCAGGTAGGTACCACCGCCCTGCCTATTTCTGTCGTGAAGCAGTAATGCGTTTCGGTTTGAGGGGTGGAGCAGCCGTTGTAACTATACTGAAACCTTAGAGCTTATATCTCAAGGTGGGTAGCGCATTTACGTTGTAGATGTCTATGGGCTCCAGTTACAGGTGGACTGTGAGCTCATCCATTCATAAACCCAATTTTTTATTATTATTTACAACTTGTGTGTATCGGAATAGACTGGACTGAAAGAGACCGATCTACTCACGAACTTATTTGGATAATTATCCTCATTAAAGTGCGTGCGAAACGACAAATCTTCATGTTGTTTCCGTATGTATGCATGTGAGCTCGTCTGTGTGGATGTTTCTGTAAGTGTGTGTAAAAGCGGACGAAAGCCTGGAAAATTATGATCAGCGTGAACCAATCAAAAAACGATTCTCGTGTTATTGAAATTGCAAATAATTAAATGGAAAGTTCAGTATTTTTATGGCTTTATGGCGACTCTGAATTCAAATTGCCTGCTTCAATTTAAATATGTCATAATATATCAGTTGGGCTGACCACATACTGTTACGCGGGGTCTCCCGATTAGGTTTCTAAAAAATAATTTTAAAAAGGAGATTTCACTTTTATTAGTTCAATTACACAAAGAGGGTCACAATCTTGAACAGCTGATGGTGACAGGAAAGGTAGATGGCAAACGTCCCAGAGGACGCAGTCCCACGAGATGGTCGGACCAAGTACGATCTTCTCTGAACATCAATTTCCATAATGCCTTTCATGAAGCAAGGGATCGCGGCAGATGGAGGGAAGTCGTATGGGAGAAACTGATGCAGCGGGGGAGTCTCGACCCTCAGTAATGAGGAAAACGACGCGAGGAGGGAGTTCAATTACACAAACAATTTTGAATTATAGAAATTAGCAGAAAGAAGATATTGTTTAAGACCGCACCCGATGGGTAACTAAATACGACCGTCTGACTCTCGGTCGGTAACTATTACCAAGAGATTACTCACAATGCTTACTCAGCTTCAGTGGTGATTAAAAGAGATGTATCATTACTAACTCACTGAAAGTCACGGATGAAGGTGGTCACGACCCTCAGATAAGAGAAATACGACTGGACGAGGAAATATCATCAAAACTTAATTATTAAATCTCCCTCTTGTTATCCCTACCGGTTTAAATAAATTTACAATCCTGAAAAGAACCAACGAAACAAATTTAGCGGACTTGTTTTTTTTTTGAAGTATTCATTCAAATAGACGTTATTTAGCTTTTTTTTTTTCACTGGTTAAAAGAAAAATGCCATAGACCCGTTCTTGTACCTAAAATTTTTAGCTTTTTTGAACTATTATTTATTTTTCATTTTTTAGTTGTATTTCAATTTTTTAAATACAGAATTGTCATCGGTCCTTAATAAGTATGCCAAGTTTCAAGTTAATCCGACGTTTTGAAGGGGGTCAAAACATACATACGTCTGAAGGCAATAAAAGCGTATTAATATTTGAAGAACTAGTATGTAGCTGTCATGAAAAACAAAGACAATATAGATACCAAAAAATACAAATGTTGTCAAAGACAAATTCCGAAGATATCCACAAGAATACGATTGATTGTTGATAAACCAGGCTTAAGGAAGCGGTACCTCTGAAGCCCTACTGGTGTTAGGCAATTACCGGAAACCAAAGGGCAATGCCGCCGCTTACTTTGATAAGATCAAAATCTTATTAGAAAAACGGCTATGCTAACACTACGACGAAAACGATTGTAAGATCATAATAGGAATAGGTAGGATCGAGTTTTTTTTTTATTGCTTAGATGGTTGGACGCGCTCACAGCCCACCTGATGTTAAGTGGTTATCGGAGCCCATAGACATCTACAACGTAAATATGCCACCACCCACCTTGAGCTATGAGTACTAAGGTCTCAGTATACTCACAACGGCTGCCCCACCCTTCAAACCGAAACGCATTACTGCTTCACGGCAGAAATAGGCAGAGTAGTGTTATCTACCCGCGCAGACTCACAAGACGTCCGACCACCAGTAAAGATACTGAACCGCTCGAGCAAGATCATTCGTTCGAATGCCAAAAATATTATTAAAAACTACATTTACCTTTTTTTTTTCCTACCTATGCTGATAACCTTGAGAGGCTATTTCAGCTTTCCCTAGCGTGTGTAGGTGAGCTCACGGGGCTCAAACCGGAGAGTTGCTGACACTGACCCTAGCAAGAGCAGTGCTTCGCAGAATCTACCACCGGATCGGAAACGCGACCCACTGAGAAGATCCGGCGAGAAACTCAGTGGGCTGTGTCTGTGGGTACATTTACCAACATTCACAAGTGACTACGACAAATGTACAGTATTCGAAACATAGAACTTAATAAAATAAAAGTACCTAATTGAGATTCAGATTAACGTGAGATTAAGCCGTAAAAGTTTCAATTATATTTACGAGGCGTGAAAACTGAAGGAAACACGGGAAAAAAAATGTTTTTCTTGTAATAACACCGACTGCAAGTAAGACTTGTAGAAAGGGGGCTAACATAATTTTTTGCTGCTATTTTAGCATAACGTACAAAAAGACGAATTACATAAAATATTCATCATTCTCCTGAACTTCTCTCAGTAGCTTGAGGTCGGCGCAACACGTTTTCTCCTTCCATACTCCTCTATCATATACCATTTCTTCGCTCGCTCCCCTCTTACACATATCGTCTTTCACGCAATCCATCAATTTCTTCTTAGGTCTACCTCTTCCTCTATATCCTTCCACATTCATAGTTAGCACTCTCTTACCAACCTCATTTGCATTTCGTCTCATCACATGCCCATACCATCCCAAACGCGCACTTCTCAACTTCTCTGTCACAGTTGCCACTTTCAGACTTCCTCTAACATATTTATTCCGTATTCTATCCATTTTCGTTACTCCACACATCCATCGCAACATTCGCATCTCTGCTGCATGCAATCGCCTTTCATATATATTACAGAAAATACATATACAGAAAATATTATAATCTAAAAAAAATTTGATAATATTGAACACATGAACTAAAGTAGACACATGTCTGTCAGTCTTGTATTCTTAATCTACAAAAGTAGGCAAGCCATAAGTCCAAGCACATTACCTTCAAATATTTTCAATTATATTACACGTCACACAATTTACATATATATGCTTTATATGTAATAGATAGGACACAATCAGAGCTGTGTTTTTTGAATTTCAATTTAATAAAGTAATCAAGGTTTTCAAGGATTGAGTAATTTGATCACTTTGAATGAGATGCATCGACTGCCTTCAAAGGTATTGAATTTTTTTTAAACAATTTAAAAATATTTTACTTAAGCTAGATTTTCTGTCGCAATCAAGTCGCGTCATAGTACTACAATCTAAAGTTACGGAACATGTTATTATGATCGGTGTTAAATAATTCACACAGTTTCACAGCCACTAAACCAGTTTCCATATATCTCAATACCAATAATAGTTATAGTTATATCTGTATGCAAATAAAATTATATATTACTAATTGTACATTTTATACTATATATTATATATATTATTAAATGTTACAATTAATTAGCGGGTTCGAATTTATATATTTGCCATTGCTATGCACCATAATCATTCCTGATCATGAAAACAGTAAAATAATGAAATCATTCAAAATCGTAAAATGTAAAAGTCGACACTATGCTAAAGTTTAAAGTATCCTAAATCATATTTAATCAGATACTAAAGCCAATTTTGACACGAAAATAAAAAAAAAACTAATTGCCTTTAAAAATACAGTTATATTTTTTTATTAATACAATAAATTACAATTGTATTTTTAAGGACTATTCTATTATTTTTTTTCATTAAGTTCATGTTCATATATTTATTTGAGAAAAAAGTCAAATATCATGAAAATTATTTTAATCATCAAAATATAAAATATAAATAAGCATAAAATAGGTTCTCTCTTAAAACCGACTCACCTACGAAAAGTCCAAAAACGAGGAGCACAGTCATCTTGTACAAAATAAGACATCTAAATTATAACGCACATAACTTATTTCTTTCACGTATCATTTCACATTCACAGAAAGCACGGTACGCGAAAGCTCAGGACGCGAGCCGGGCGTGTGACGTCCGCGCTCCACCGCGGTCTGACGCCAACTGCGTTCCTCTCTCTCGGACCCCTATTACCCACCCCGAGACTCCCTTATCGCGATTCCGTAATTAGATAAATGTCATTGCTGCCTTTGTTTTTTTGTCGGTTGATTTGGTAATAGAGCGCTTTCTGTACTTCGTTTGCGTATCAATGCGGTGACAGCGACGCGGACGTATCGTTTCGTTGTATCCATTCTTTGGATGTATTAAGATAAATAAATAAGTAATATAAGTATAAGACTTTTTCTATTTGATTTACTACGAATTGTAAGTTGAAATAAACATGGCGTTGCTGTGAAAACAAAGGTTTTATAATATTATTTTAACTAGCTGACCCGGCAGACTTCGTAGTGCCTCAATGGATAAATAAAAGACCTAAGCTTTTGTATAAAATAAACTTAAAACATACAAAAGGAATCCGTCAGACATACGAAGATAACAGAAAATAACATTATTTTTTCTTTGATGTGTCCCCTCATCAAAGGAAGAAAAATTGTTATTTTTATTTAATTCCGAGCATTTTCATATTTATCTACCTTTTAAACCTTCTCTGGACTTCCACTAATAATTCAAGACCAAAATTAGCCAAATCGGTCCAGCCGTTCTCGAGTTTTAGCGAGACAAACGAACAGCAATTCATTTTTATATATAGAGATAACTTAAAACATACACAAGAGTAACAAACAGTACCATCACATTGCAAACCTATAATAGGTATCTCACCTGAAAACAAAGAAACGACATTCGAAGTCCACCACTCCGAATTCCTTTTAATAACTATCCAATTTAATTTATTAACAACATGGCAGATGTCATCCCTTCACAATGTATGTGATGTCACCATTATCGACAGCGCCATCTATATGATTACATAGAAGCTATAGGGCGCTGTACAAGTTTACTATAAATGAAAATAGTTTCTTTACATAAGTGTTATTATTTCTCAGCATAGCACGGTGTCATTGGCCCACGAATATCATTATCATCTGTACCTTTTTTCTGTGATTTTGAGATTGTTATTCGCCATAAAATGAGCAGTAGAGCTGTATGAGTATTATACGTAACAGCATATAACAATCGTATGTGATTAAAGGCGAATTTACATTACGAAATTAGTGGCATGAAATTAATTTCGTGACATTAGTTTTACCAACAGTTTCACGTGCAATTTAATACTTTCGTAATGCATGCATTCATTTCATGCATGCAAATTAGTTTCGTGTCGACGAGAAGACGAATCAACAGCTAACGTTAAGTGAAGAGGAGTAAGATCTTCACTGTGTTCAATTAAAAAAAAAAGTTCAAATGAGTAGTGTATAACTCACATTTAAAACTCACATTTAAAACTCAATATTTGCAGTAACGTTACTTTTAAAGATCTCATTTGCAATTTCATTTTTCACAAAAAAAAAGATCAGAATCATAATCAAAGGCTCTAATCTCAATTATATGAGAGTTGTTTTTTTTTAAAAGGAAACAAAGGATACTTGCTACGCGTACTAATCCGAATTACACGGCGCCATTCCCGCTTATTGTTTCAACGTGAGAACTCCACAGACAGACAGCCGGAAATTAACTAGGAGCTAATTTCACGTTTACACGAGGAGAGTGGTTTTTAATAAGAATCATCAGGACGAAGTCGAAGCTGATTTAGAAAAAGCGGCTGATATCCTGTGGAAGCGTGTTGATAGCGCCGTCTATGTGGGCATCAGATAGTCTGCAGACCGACCGACTTAGCGATTGAGGCAGCGATAACTACCAATTTCATGGAGTAACGCGGCAAGGAGACATGCGTTCAGCGCAAAAGCCGTCACTTTACCCCAGCTTACCTTAAGTAAGTTCTATCTCATCGAAGGATCTGATAGCTTAGAAGAAACCTAACAAAAACCTGAATATCGTTGATGAAATTTACAGGATAGGTACCACCGCCTTACGTATTTCTGCAGTGAAACAGTAATGCGTTCCAGTCTGAAGGGTAGGGCAGCCGTTGTAACTATACTCATCATCATCAGCCTGCGGCAGTCCACTGCTAGGCATAGGCCTCCCCCAAAACTCGCCACTGAACCCGATCTTCGGTTCTACGCATCCAGTTACTGCCAGCTGCCTTAACTATACTTGTGTACTATATTGTAGCTATACTGAGACCTAAAAACTTATATCTCAAGGTGGGTGGCGCATTTACGTTATAGATGTCTATGGGCTCCAGTAACTACTTAACACCAGGTGGGCTGTGAGCTCGTACACCCATCTAAGCAATAAAAAAATATACATGTAAATGTATACATATAAACTCTCAGGAGTTCGACAACGGCATCTGGTCTACGGTGCAAAGCCACTCGCCAGGTGAAAAATCTTCTCTTTGTCTTTTCCCTATTAAACTATTGTATCTCTCTATTTCTCCACCTTATCGCACTAGATGGGATCGGCACGGCTAATTTTTGCTCTTCCAGTCTCTTTTATCAGCCATCATCTCAACACTCACTCCTCTCTCTCTCATATCATTATTCACACACTCCATCCATATCTTCTTCGGTGGACTTCTTCTCCCTCTACCTTGCACTAGGTTTTTATATGTAATTTATTTAATCAGTATAATATTTAGTCGACCGATTTTATCAGTTTTAATATTAATACACAACTTAACATGTGTGAATAACCCGTTAGCAAGTATTCAAACATAATACCAAGATTTACTGATAGCCAGTGATATGATGTTGCTATTCCACAGTGAAACCTTGTTGGAGCTTAACTCTATAACATCTCTGACTTGGTTTTCTTTAAAAAGTGCTCTATGTATAAAGTAGTATTTTTACTAACAGCACAGGCGGTATTTTAACTGGTGGTAGGACATCTTGTAACCCAGAGCGGTACCACCACTCTGTCTATAACGCAATTCCTTCCGGTTGAGATTGTGGGACATACGTAACACAATTGAGATTTAGACCTGATGTCTCAAGGTGGCATTGGCGTGGTGATGTCTACGGGCTACCGTAATCACTTAGCCGCAGTTGGATATAGTTTACACGTCTGAGCAATTGAAAAAAATTAACTTAATTAATTAATAACATTGTGTATTAGAACCTATCCTGTTAAACAAATATAAGTGGCAATATGGTAATTCGTGACATAATAACACAAAAAATCTGTAGCATTGCTGTAATACAGCACTGAATTGCACTAACGACATTGATAAGGTTTCGAACAACACCAATCGCCTTGGTTCCTAAGGATTGTGGATTTCCATGATGACCCGGAGCTTGACTCAGTAAGTATTTCCAGTCGGCATCATTGCACCACTTCGAGAAGGCGGCACAACATGAAAACCCTCTTGTCGTGGCCGCCGATAATTACGTACCCCATCCTGTGGACCAAATGGTAAACAGTCGAAGTCGCCCTAAACACGTCATTACGGATCCTCTCGATCCATTAACGGTGCTTTTAAGTACCTCAAGCGCCGGTCATCGTCCTCACCGAACCCGTCGCTTGGGACGAAGGGCTCGACGAGTAAACTAACCCATAGACACAGCCCACTGAGTTTCTCGCCGGATCTTCTCAGTAGGTCGCGTTTCCGATCCGGTGGTAGATTCTGTGAAGCACTGCTCTTGCTAGGGCCAGTGGTAGCAATACTGCCGGTTTGAGTCCCGCGAGCTCACCTACTAGTTTGGCAAATTTAGAATAACCCCTCGCGGCTACTAGAATAACAACATTATATTTATTTATATTATCTTTTACTTTTATTTTTATTGGTGAGGACCTAATTGACTTGTTGTCTCCTATTTATTATTCTATTTTATTAATCATAGCCATAGGTCTCCTTTGAAATATTTAAATAAACAAAAAGTAATTTTTAAAATTTAAAAAAATACTAAGAAACGAATAAAATGTTATGATTTTATCAATTTGGTGTTTGAAAATGTAAACTTCATTGGAAATATTTACAATAATAATATACAAAATATAGACACCAAATGGATATAGTAAAAAAACGCCAAATGAAGAAATAGAAAACCCTGCCTGTGGCATGTTGCAGTGGATATGTATACTATTGGAGATATAACTCGAGAAGGGTTGACGGGAGGCAAGTGGACGGTCGTAAAACTAATCCCAAATCCCTATATTGAATGAATGATAAGACACGCTGCACCAACCCCACATAGTGGCAAGAATCAAAAAAATATTGTAACATCATTAAAAATCACGTGGCGCATGGTTCAATGGCTCTGAGGGAACACGAAGACCACTCCGGTCATCGTTCTCGTTGAACCCGTCGGTTGCAACGAAGGGCTCGACGAGTAAATTAACCCATAGACAAAGCCCACTGAGTTTCTCGCCGGATCGTCTCAGTGGGTCGCGTTTCCGACCCGGTGGTAGATTCTGCGAAGCACGGCTCTTGCTAAGGTTCATGTTAGCAACGTCGTCAGGTTTTAGCCCCGTGAGCTCACCTACTAGTTAAAGTTACGCTGAAATAGCCTCTCAAGGCTCTTAGCTTAGGTAGGAAAAAAAAAGGGAACCACTTCCTTCACGTTGTATTGATGATTCCGAAAATCTATACTAAAATATTAATGCTGAATTCAGTGAATTAATAACGGCTTTCGTTTAGGCTAAAAGCTTTATTGGGTTTAGACGTTTAGTTGTTTAACGTTCAGTTCAATACACAGACAACCCGTATAAAAGCCCTCACAACTGCTCCTAGTGTATCATGGATTTTATTTCCGGTTTTTGTTTAAATTGATTCCTTGTTAAGTCGACCTGTCGGTCAACTATTCACGTCAGAAAGTTACCTCCTCGCAAACCTACACCCACGAGACTTCGGACTGTTGGTCGATTGTGCCACAACCATTCGGCCTTTTGATCGAAGGGCCATCTGAATCCCACCTGAAAGACACCGCACATTGAAATCGACGAGATACCTCACTAGTTCAGTTCCAGTAGGCTTCGGAAGTCTTTCATCACAGGGTTTTAAAGACACGTATAGCCA